GTAGTAGTAGTAGTAGTACTAGTAGTAGGAGTAGGAGTAGGAGTAGTAGTAGTAGCAGGAGTAGTAGTAGTAGTAGTAGTAGTAGTAGAAGTAGTAGTAGTAGTCGTAGTAGTCGTAGTAGTCGTAGTAGTAGTAGTAGGAGGAGGCAGGGTTTTTGATTGTAAGTGGTGTAAGATGGTGTAAGTGTTTCTTTCCAATCCCACTTGACTGACTTAGTTGACTCGATTGACTTTGTGTAGTAATTCGTCGGGGTCAACTTGGCCAACTGTGTCAACTGGGTCCTGAGATTCAGCGTGGCTCCCTGTGCGGTCGCAATGGAAAAACGTGCAATGGATGGGCTACTCCCAGGTTATCACGGGGCCCTACAAACTCTTCCCGTGAGCTACCACCTGATGTGGAAGCCACAAGATGTTCAACCCATTCTTTGAGAGCTCATGGGTGCTGTCCAAAAGGTGCCATTTGCTTTGGGACAGAGTCTAACCCCCAACAATAAGCACCGTCAGTAAGCTCTCACCAGGGCGGTTCGACCATGACATTCCCTTTTGGTATTATATATATATATGTTTACATACACGGTATCACAATAACTGACCTGTGCGATCCTCCCAGGGTCCCTTGATCCGTAGGCCTCCAATTTGATGACTTGGGGATCGGGGATCCTGGGTGACTGCTAGGGCTCCATCTAGGTGCTGAGCAGATCCTATTGATATGTTGTCCTCTCAGAACTCTACTGTTCACATCTTGTCACTTGATTTGGAGCCCTTCAATCTGTGTCAATGTCTCAGACTGTCACACAGCCCCTGACCATGTGACGTCCATCCGACCCATCGTGGTGCTCACACCGACCGCTATGCTTTTGGACCCAACGCGGCCAAAATGGCACAGGTCAGATCCATGGGAGGTGGGGAAGAGCGCTGAAGAGGGCGGTAAGGAATGAGGCCTAGAGATTCAAGACCCTGGTGAGTTGATATATGTTGATATTCTAAACGCATCTAAACACCATGCTAAACAGGACGTCATGCATCTGGTGTGCCACTCTTTGGTGGTTCTTATAGGCTCTTAGCTCCGTGAGAGCCATTGCGCTCCTGACAAGTACCCACAGCCGCACCTCGCATGCATAGGGCACAGACTGGGCGGAAGAAGTGAGGGCAATTTCTCACATGTGTCCAAGGTGAGGCTTTGAGGGTGGCACGGCCGGACCCCAGTAGAATAGGACAACCTCACAAGTCTGATAACAAACAATATTCTTGTCAATCATCTGGGTTTCAAGTAGTCTGATTACAATGTCCCGGTTGTCCCCATGTTCCATGCTTTGTTCTCCACTTCTCCCTGGGTGCTGCTCATTTTTCTGTGATCCACTTGCACCAAACGTACATCTTTTCAATGTCTGAGTGGCAACACGTATTTTAGTTGCTGCTCAAAAGGATTCAAAAGAGGTGGATAGAGGTGGTATCTTAATTAAGGCATCCCAAAACTCAAAAACAAGCTTCGCCGCAACTACTTTGAGTTGTAGTACTGGTACCCCCGCCGATACTGGCGCCGATGCTGACGATACTCACGACGATGCTGACGTCGGTTCTTCCTATAGCTGTAGTACGGCTTCTTGGTGATGGTTGTTGTTGTTGTGGTGATGTCGGGCGCTGTGGTGGTGGTTGATGAGGTCGAGGTGGTTGATGAGGTCGAGGTGGTCGATG